TACACAGAAAAATTAATTAAAAAACTTTCAAAATATTTCGAAAGTGAGTTTATTGTCAAAAAAACATAAGTGATATTAAGATTAACAGTTTTTTTTTAAAGTACAAATTAAGTAAACAAAAATTAATAAAAAATCAGTTCTGATCTTCATTTTCAATGGTATTTAAAGAATTGGTGGCATGTAAGCTTCTTTAACAGTTTTGCTAATTGTCATTTTTGTTGTACGAAAAAACATGGCTGAGTAGCTCAACAGTTTTTAAATTTTTGTACAATTTTATTTACTATGTCAACTAACAGAGCTTGGTAGATGGACGGTTTTGTTGGTTTGAAGTAGGAAATATTGTATAGTTCTAAAAGCAGAGAGAATTATTTAAAATCAAAGACATTTTTTAAAGTTTAAAACTTTACACTTCCTGTTATTTTAGTTCCTGACTACTGCATGGGCTGCAACAATTCCTGTTCCTGCTGGTGTTTTTATTCCTGTTTTCAAAATGGGTAAAGTATATTTTTACTAATCAAATGAGGAATATTTTTACATAATTCCACTGATTGACTCTACCAATCACAGACCTTGTTGAATTGATAGAATCTGATATATTTTTTTAAAACTGTGATCCTTAGATTTTTTTGCTTCCATTGTGAGTTAACACATTTAATAGACCAATATCTGTAGAAATACTGCAAATATATGCCACTTTATTGAACCAAATGCAGTAATGCATAACTTGTGTTGTTAGAATATTATGTACATTGACACATGTTGAATGTCTTGACTTTTTTTTAATTATAAATACATTAATTATTTTATTATTATTCAGTTAATTGATCAAAAATAACTTGTGCAATAATGTTGTTCTTGTTGAGAATATGTTTGGTAAAATTTCACCATCAAACTGAATTTGAATTATGAACTTTGCAGACTTGTCTAAAATGAGCAGATTTTGAATTTCTGTGGTGAATTTTGCATGTATGAAAAGACTGTATAAATGCATGTGTTCTGCAAGAAGAACTTATTAAATGCATTTATATATGAAAAACCTACAATTTGAAATATGCGTACTTAGTGTAAAATTATTTTTTACTTGAAATTGTTAATGTGTGAAAATCACTTCTGTTAGCAATAATGTTATGTCTTTAAAAGAATTGTTAACAGTAAAAATTCTACCCTGCTGTTATTCTGCTGTTTCAAAAAATTATGCATTTTCAAAAAACTGGAGATTTTATGCTCAACTTGATCCTTTAAACAATTTTTTTTTTGTGGGTGAATATTCTAATGTGTAACTTTTATTAATTCTTTTAATGTATAGGTGCTGCTTTTGGCCGTCTTGTTGGAGAGTGTATGGCAGCTTGGTTTCCCGACGGAGTAAGGCTAGGTGAAACGGTGACCAAAATCATTCCTGGTGGTTATGCTGTTGTGGGTGAGCTTCACAGTTTATTGGTTTTTGCTAGTTTTTTTTTGTGCTACATCAAATAGCCTAGTTTTAAGGGTAAGAGCTGTATAGCTACATATTCCTCTATTAGTACATTTGATACTAATATACAAAAAGAAAAGTAGAGTATGTAAAACATTTGGAAAAAAAATACTAATTAATTCATCTTATTGTTCACTCTTGATCCAATATGAGAATGTGCCCCCCCCCTGTTTATATGACAGGAGAATACTTCTAGAATGTTCAGCATTTTGTCAGTTCTTAATTTTGAAGAACTTATTAATATTTTTAGAAATTTCTAGCAGATGAACTGTATCAGTGAAACTCCGTTTTGTAAGTTTTACCTCTGAGAACCTATTAACTCTCTATGAGGTCTCAGTCATTTTGAGCGTAGTTTCTGTGTTTTATTTGAACAACCTTTAGAACCTCTTAAACGAATAGCAGTAGTTTTTGTGGTAAAACTTTATACTTTATCTCTTATTGTCACTACCCTCATAAACATGTTCATTAGTAATGCGTAATACTGTCTGAGAGAATTATAAGCCTTAAAAGACAGAGGCTATGGGAGGAGTGTGTCAATGTGGAGTGAACAAATATGGTGATATATCAGTAAAGCAAAAAGATAAGAGGTTGAAATTTTTTATTTTGCCCCATCAATATTTATAGTATGTGTTTCTTAGTGGTTGAAAAACCCGAAGCCCTTATAAGGGAAGAGCATAAATCTATAAATAAGAAGCCGCAGCTCCGCACATCGTGTGACTTTCAGAGGTGCAGATTGAGAATTTATTTATATATGTTTCCTTTTGAAATTAATAACTTAAGACTTAAATAATATAAAAATTTTAATTATAAACTACGTTTTGATTGCAGGCTTAGATAATAAGTAGTTTAATTACATTTTGAATGTAACTCTATAAAAACGTTGTGACATGTACACTTTGATCCACACATATCGACAGAGTTAATAGTTCTAGAACATTATCAAAATGTTGTGACATGTACACTTTGATCCACACATATCGACAGAGTTAATTGTTCTAGAACATTATAAAAACGTTGTGACATGTACACTTTGATCCACACATATCGACAGAGTTAATAGTTCTGGAACATTATCAAAACGTTGTGACATGTACACTTTGATCCACACATATCGACAGAGTTAATAGTTCTAGAACATTCAGTAGAAAAACCATAACAGTGAAACCCATTTTCTAAGTTTTACCTCAGAGAATGTATTAACTTATTAATTGGTTTCCATAGGTGCCGCTGCTCTCTCTGGAAGTGTTACTCACACAGTATCAACGTCTGTTATTGTTTTTGAGCTGACTGGCCAAATGTCACACATCCTTCCTGTAATTGTGAGTATCTTTAACAGGATCTTTTTTTGTTTAATGATAGGTAACTATTACATAGATTTATTCAATGTCAGGTTATATACTGTAACATTGAGAGATGTTTATTTTTAGTTTTGTTGTCTTCAACATGTACACAAGGTGAAAGTAAGCCACCTTTCTTATGTTATATTGGTACATACAAACTGCTGGTTGAGAGTGTTATATATAAAATATGTGTACTTCTGATGTATTATTTAACAAATACAATCTGTAGGGCTGTACACATTGAAATATGTTTTACATACATGTATATTATATGATAATTAGTTGATACTTTGTTCCTGATTTATATACAAGTTTTGCATGATTTATTATTCATTTCTTTATGTGATTGAGGAAAAAAATAAGAATTATAAGTGTATATTTCAAAAAGTAAACCTAGTAAGATGTCATTATAAAAAAAAAAATATTAGCCATCAATATGATACAGAAATGTTTGAATTTCAATCTTTATAATTTATAAAATGACATTAATAGGTTATTATCAGACGATATATTGTACAGTGTACACATAAACAGGTAATTACTGAATACTTTCTTTTCTAACAGATAGCTGTTCTAATATCAAATGCCATTGCCCAGTCACTACAACCTTCCATTTATGATAGCATTATTAAAATCAAGAAACTTCCGTACTTACCACCCATTCTTACAGTCTCATCAGTGTAAGTTTGTTCTTTACCTATTTGTATGTAAATTTTTCTAGCATATTGATACGTGTAATTCCTTAATACATAGTATGCATGTAATTGTCTAATGAATTTACTTATTTCCTATTTAGTGTTTTAACATGTATGTAATAAGGTATTCCTGAGGGGTTCTCCTCGAGCCAGTTGTAAGAAATTACAATATTAATAGTGTATATGATGTGTATTTTGTCCAGAGATGACCTTACAGCTTCTATAAGTGAAATAATAGTTGCTTGAAAACATGCAATGTCACAGTGTCAGTGCATGAGGTTGATTGATAGCATGACATCATAATATTAGCGACATGTTTGCTGGTTGGTAAAAAGGTGACAATACTTGTATCTTTTATGTTAGGCTATTGCATACTTATCAACTTGAACCTATGTAATCAAAATAAATTCTCTTAAATTGGCTATGGCACATAACTCAGAATATTTTATTGGATTTCAAACTTCAAACATGGGGCCCAAAGGAACTGCCTAGCTTCCTATGCTCTAAAGCTGGTTCTGATTCTATTTTTAAACTTCAAACATGGGGCCTAAAGCAACTGACCAGTTTGCTATGTCCTAAGGTTGATTCTGATCCTGTCATAATATGATAATTTATTTGCTCTTTAAAAAAAAACATGAAGCAATTATTTACTCATGTCTAATGACTCATCCTCCTCTTGACTAAAGTACTTAACAAAGGTATGTACAATTAGAAACATAATCCAGTCATTGTTACTGCAGCTACAGCAGGCATCATAAAGTCATAGAACCTTGGTGGTAGATTTATTTTATGTAGCCAGTTCAGTGATAACAGATGTTTTATTTCATTGCTTTTTACTGGTGCTGTTTTCATTTTGCCATAAATAACTCGCCACAGATATAATCAATAATTGAAACCATCGGTACTTTGAGAAACACCATGATTTATAATGGAAGAAAATAAAGACGATTGTATGTTTCACAACTATTTCATTTATTACTACCATGATTTTGCCCACAAAGATGGAGAGTCTAGAAAGTACACTGTGCTTATAAGTTGACTGGAACCCTGATAGGTTTTTTTTTTAAGAAGTAATTTGATTTGAAAGTATGAAGTAGACTCTTAATGGCTGTTTTTAAGGATTAATGAAATGCTCTAATGGCAATCAGGGTTTCAAACAACATTTACTCTTTCTGTAAATACAAATTGAATATACATATCTGTGTTATATTTTAATACTGCACATTGTCCCTAAATGAGTCAGCGGTACATTTATGGTCGTGCAACCAAAAATTTTGGGGTTCGATTCCCTGCAACGAACACAGTAGATAGCCCAATGTGGCTTTACTCTAAAAACAAACAAATACTGTACAGATGTGGTTACATGTTTTATTGGGACGTTTTATGTGTATCTTTTTTATTTTCTTCAAAAATCAATTTCCAATTAGCTGTAAGGGTTTAGGTAAATGTCACTATTTGTGTTGATAAAAAACAGTAATATTCATAATTTGCTATGGCAACTAAAAACCCTGTATATAATTAAATTACAACCAAGTATATAAATTGTGAAAGGAAATGGAAAGTTTTCCCATAATTAAAAGTACTGCTTTCCAGTTTTCTGAGAATATGTAATTTGACACATCATTATATGGACTCACAGTTGAACAGTAAAAACATTGGAATTTTCTATGGTTTTATTATTATTTTTATTTAGTGTCTCTATTTTCCTGTAGTTTTTCCTTTAGTGTTATGTGGATATGTTTTGTTGAATAAACCTTTTTTTTGTGCTTTAATTTATTCATTTCAAAACTTTTTCACCTCAACAATAAGCAATTGTGTTTATGAAATTATTACATTGTCCTTATAAGCGATGTTATATTTTTTATGATTGTTTTAAAATCATAGACTCAAGAACTGTTTAATTCTGATGTTGCTAAAGTCTTTCATCCTGTAGAATTCGTAAACTTAATTAATGGAGAAAACTTCTCAGAAAATCCTTGAACTAGCAAAACTTGCATATCTGTCATCTCTCTGATAGTTGTATATCTGTTCTCTCTGGTAGTCTGTATATCTGTTCTCTCTGGTAGTCTGTATGTGTAACATAGTTCTAGTTATAATACTTAAGAAAAGCCTTTGTATAATTTATGCTCTCTGGATTTGATACACACAAACACATTCTGAATCTGAATAATTTATGAGTTATTCTGGTAATTTTCAGGGCCCACAATGTTTATGTTGATGAGATTATGGTCCGAGATGTTTTGCATGTGTGGCAAGGAATGACCTACAGAGAACTCGGGAATATTCTGAAAATGAAGAAACGGTTTCATTCCTATCCTTTTGTTGACTCTCCAGGTCAGTTTTCAGTTAATTTGAAGAGTTCTCCTAGGAAATATATAATACGTGTGTCATGATACACTTAATAATTTTAACTTTGCTTCACAATAGATTTTGGGTTCATGCTCATAGAGTTTGGGGGAATTCTAAGACTTTTGACAAAATTTTCAATATATTTTTTTTTTCTTGAAGCATGCAGTTGTCAGTTATATGTATAGTAGGGGGGAGGGTGTCATAAAACCTTTTGAAAAATGCATTCTATATTTGGTAGTGTATCTTTGTTTGATAGTCCCTTGGAAATGAAGTGGGTTACTGGGTCTGACAAAAAAAGATTTGCTAGAATTTACTATCAGTATTGTTGAGAGCTAAAGTCACACAAAAAAACTGAGATGTTATTAGATGACTGATATAAATACTGCTTCAGTTGAGACTTTATATGTTGTTTGTCAGGGAGGTGTGGTGAGCTCTTGCATTGATCAATCATATAAATACTGCTTCAGTTGAGACTTTATATGTTGTTTGTCTTGGAGGTGGGGTGAGCTCTTGTATTGATCAATCATATAAATAGTGCTTCAGTTGAGACTATATGTTTGTCTGGGAGGTGTGGTGGAGCTCTGGCATTAATCAACCATATAAATACTGCTTCAGATGAGACTTTATATGTTGTTTGTCTGGGAGGTGTGGTGAGCTCTGGCATTGATCAATCACATAAATACTGCTTCAGTTGATACTTTATATGTTTGTCTGGGAGGTGTGGTGAGCTCTGGCATTGATCAATCATATAAATACTGCTTCAGTTGAGACTTTATATGTTGTTTGTCTGGGAGGTGTGGTGAGCTCTGGTATTGATCAATAGCCTGTTTTGGCACTTTTTTGGCATAATAGGTAAACCATAACAATTAATAAACAAGTTTAATTTCAGCTGGTTGCACTAGATCCCCAACTTGAAATATTTTTGTTAATATGCAAAATGTTACTTCCTACTAATAACCCATTTTTAGTTAAAAGTAATAAGCCCCAAATTATACAGTTAATTTAATTAAGTATTTTTCAAGTTTCATGGTTTTTTTAAAAAAACACTTTCTACTATAATTGTGTGCATCCATGCACATTAGGTAAAAATGGTTTTCTACAAACATATTATTAAAGTTATGATCGATTCGATTTACTCGTATATGTTGTGGTGTTTAACTAGTAAAAGTAATACACCTTTTAAACCACAATTATTTATTATTGTAAAACAAGGATATTTTGCTACGTGTTCCAACCACATTTGTTTGGGTCTTTATAACAATGACGATAGCTCGTGATTAGTATTGTTGACTAGCTGTCTTCCTCTAGTCTGTCAGCTCAAAATTAGAAATAACTATGCATTGGTAGCCCTACTCTAGTTTTGTACAGAAATTCTGAAAGCTCATCAGATACATGAATAAAAGGAAAAACCATTAAATATAGTTTTTCGGTATTTTCACTTGCATGTGTACGATAGATTTACATCTGAAGTAAAAAAGAAATCATTTAACATGCTTGTAACTGTTTTTCTTTCTTCATACTTATCTAACATTAAAATATTAATGCAAATATATATATATATTTTGAAACTGTTGAAATGTTCCATCTTGTAATAAAATGTTAATGAAGGTGCATTTAAAAAGTCACTAAGCACATGTAATGATGGTTCAGTTGTATGTGATTACTGCTGGCTGTATCACTTAGCTATTATAATAAAGAGTAGTGTATGATTAGCACTTGTTTTTAAGAAACGGAACTGTTAGTAAGTAGTTAATTGTTCAACAGAATAACCGTGAGCATAAAAAAAAAGTGGAAGGTGAAGTTCTTTTTTTTTAAATAAAAGTCAATAATTTTTTTTTCTGGAATCAATCAAAGATAACAGACTGTTTTATTAAATGTTTGAAAGATCTGTTGCAAAAGTTTTAAATGTTTAATAAAATTATGTTTCTCCTAAAGAGTCCATGATTCTTCTGGGATCAATTCAGCGATTTGAGCTTAAGAAACTATTGGAGAACCAATTAGGTAGAGAACGCCGACTAAAAGAAATGGCAAGACGTCAGTCAGTAGATGATGCACGTAACAAGCCTCAGTTTTCTGACCAGCCTCGTAAAATGTCGAGGTTTGAAATAATACCCGTTTCAGGAAGTGATAAAGTGAGTATTGTAGCTTTGTTTTACAATCTGAAGATACTAATGATTTTTAAAAATTGTACGGAAGCTTTTTGTCAGTAAAAGACATTTCTCAACTATGCTAAAGAATGAGAAGTGTGGCAGTTATAGCTTGTGGAAGATGAATATTGTGTTAAATAAGATTTTATAAAGTTGGTAATTTTTATGGATATTATTTTAGTCACATTGCTAATAATTTTTATCGAAGTTTGACATGAGCTATCAAGTTTAAATTTAAGAACATTTATAAATTAATAATTTCATGATTAAAAAAGTAGATCATAATTGTCATTTTATTAGACCTTAGAAAATGTGGCAGTTATTATCATAGTAACAATATTTTGTGTACGTTTAATCATACAAAATAAAACAATAGGTGTAAGTAATAAGTTAGTGGAAAGTAACACTATTAACAGGGAAAAAAAAGTTCTTGTTAGTTTAGGATGTCCTCTGATGGGTCATTGGTAAGTCATGGACTTACAATGCTAAAATCCAGGGTTTGATTCCCTGTGGTGGGCAGGGTGCATATAACTCATTGTGTAGCTTTGTGCTAGTGCAAACAAACAAACATTTATGACACTCTCTTGAAATAACACTCTCTGTTGTTCAAGTTTTAAATTCTGTAAACTTTGGGGGGGGGAGATCTAAATGATTATTGAAAAAACTCCAGTAATATTTATTCAAACTTAGGATTAAGAATAAAATGAATAAAATCTGCAAAAATTATATTTGAAGTACTATAGTGGGAGTTTTTCAAAAGTTGTGCAAAATTTAATAAAAACTGTGTATGTTTTTATAGAGGGTTGATTCATTAATAAATTTTGTACTGCTAGCACTAAGTTCTAACTTGATAAAATCTGTATTTTTAAGAGTTTAGTAAAACAATATTTGATCACCTTTCGTATATTTATATTTCTTATCAAACTAGTCCATGATATAAATTCAATACACATTAACACGTACACTTGCTAAACTTATGAGGTACAAAACTTTTCATCATTTCTTACTAACCACACACAATATAAATGTACAGGGGTCGGATTCAAGGTAATTACTACCTTGTAGTGAAATAAGTTTCAGTTGAGGTGTGAAGAGTAATGTCCAAATTTCGATTAATTTTCCCTGTTGATATTTACTTAATGTCCCAGGTGATGTTAATTTAAAATTGTATATGCTAGTTTTTTTTTTTTTATGAGTGATTGTTTTTGTGGAAATAGAATCATTTGGCTGTTAGGAAGTAAAAATCCTTTAACTGATCTTCCAATTGTGAAATTTTTATTGGTTGATGTTGAAGTTCAATTTATATGAGAGGAAAGTCATGTTTATATATAGATATACAACCATGTTTATATATACAGTCATGTTTATATATAGATAACATGTAATAAAACTAGTGCCTCGCATCTGTTTAGAAAAGGGCATAGCCTAATGGTCAGTATACTGGATTGTGACTCTGAGGGTTCATGGTTCAGTTTCTGTTGCCACAAACTTGCACTCAACATTCTGGATCCATGAATGCATTATAAGAGTTACTGTCAAATCCCACTTGTTGATTAGAGTAGCCCAAACGTTTATTGTGAGTGTTGTTCACTAGCTGCCTTCCCTTTAGTCTTATCAACTCAAAATTAGGTACAGTTAGCATAAATAGTCCTTGTGTAGCTTTATGTGAATATCCAAAACAAATATTAAGAACATGTTAGTGTTTATAGAAATAAAACTATTGTATTTTTTAAATTAAAAAACAAATATAATGTTTCTAAAGTATATTAATATAAGATAATGATGTATTAATCTGTGAAGGTCATTAAACTTTTTAAAGTACCAGCCTTGCTAGTAAAAACCAACAACAATTAATGACTTGGATGCTTTTAGTGATTGTAACTAGTCAGCTGATGTGAATTTCCAGAAAGCATTACATTTGTTATTTCATATTATTTAAATAAACCATCTAATATTATACCTGTGTTTGAAATAACAGTTAAATTTCTTAATATTAGATTAGAAAAAATATACTATACAGTGTACAGAAATGCCACAGCTGTCTTTATTTGATATTCTAAACTTGGGAATTCACACTGAAAGATGTGTGTGGGCAATGAGCAACAAGATATATAGATCAGTTTTATACTATAACTTTTTCCATAAATGTTGTGCTTGCAGCTAGACATTTTTTTTATAATTTTGACCATTGTTTGGTGGGTCTGAATACTCATAATTGTGCTTTGATTATAACCTGGCAAAAATTGTAAGTGCCCCTTTATGGCTATTGACTAAACTCAAGCACCCTTGGGCTTCTTGCCAATTGTTTTTCCTGATGCTCAGTAGGGTAGCTGGCAAGAAAGTAGTCTAAGATTTAAATTGTTTTTGGATGTTTCAAGATGTACATATCCCATCATCAGTGAACTGTAATACATCAAGGATAGTACCAGTCCATATTTTATTATGATACATTAATTTCAATAGATACATTGAGTTAATAGAAAAAATTAAAGAAAACAGGATACAGGTAACAGACATTTAAAAAAAAAGTCAGAATAGTGAAAGTTGATAGGATCTTTGTTTATTGATGGGTTTTTGCCAAAATTCTGAAGTTATTTATTAATATTTCATATCGTGAGAACTTTTACCTTCAAAGTAAGTTACACGTTGTTTAAAAAGCTACTTTCAGGACTTACAAGAAGTTCTATCATAAAGACATACTCCATATTCAAATACATCTATGGGTCATTTATCAATATACTTTTAGTGACTTTGCAAGGCCACTTATGTGGGTAGGACAAAATGCCAGCTAAAAACATGCTTATGAACATATAGGAATTTCACATAGAGCTGGTAAGTAGTAATAAATTCATCTTTCTCTCTGATACAATAAAGCCAGCATTTTTTTATTTTTAGTTTTACAATTTTTTTTTAAATAAATTAGAGTGTGAGAACGGGGGGGGGGGGCTTTTTTTTTCTTAGTAATAATTAAATGGTTACACCAGTCAAACTGAACTTTTATGGACACACAACTGCACAAGAATGTGTAATAATGAAAACCACAAAGCCATACAAGGTTGTGATTTATTTATTCATCAATTTTAATACAATGTCATGTCACTTTCTAGTGACTTTGTGGGGATGGCGGGTCATTGGGTTGTTGCCAGAAGTGAAGCATGTGTTGCATATAGGTCTGACTATTGCTAGTGACTTTGTGGGGATGGCGGATCATTGGGTTATTGCCAGAAGTGAAGCATGTGTTGCATATAGGTATGACTATTGCTAGTGACTTTGTGTGGATGGTGGATCTTTGGGTTGTTGCCAGAAGTGAAGCATGTGTTGCATATAGGTATGACTATTGCTAGTGACTTTGTGGGGATGGCGGGTCATTGGGTT